GGATGGGACGTTCTCCATGGAAAGGCCATTCACCATCACGATGTGATCCTTCCTCCTGGGAGGGAAGATGCAGCTGTAACTCTGCCCTGGATACAGCTTTCAGCCAGGGAGCTGGTGGTATGGCGAGTGTACCCCAAGGGACCCATTCCAGCCAGCCAGGGCAACAGTGGTGCATGGCCCTGTCCCAGCAGGAACAATTCTCCATCTTTCCCACCCTCACTGGCAGTGGGCACCCCGTGTGTCCCCACATCCCCGTGCACTCACTGGAGCTGACCCATCGCTGGTCCCCCGGACACCACATCCGAAACAAACACTGCTGTGTCCCCAGTTGTCCTGTTGGGACGGTCACGGCCTCCAGAGACAGCAAAGCCAAAGCCCCGGTGAGGGTCCTAGTGGGGGTGGGCAGAGGGGGCTCAGGCCGAGTTGACCCCACAGACCCCATCCCCTCCCACAGCAGGGCCACCCTGGGCCATACTCGCCTTGCTCAGCGTCACTGTGTGCTGCTCCCAGATCACCATCTCCTCCATGGTGGGCACCCACCAGCCCAAGCTGGGGGGAGTGGYGGTGGCAGCTGGCCGGCGAGGGGGCTCCGACCGGCTTCGGCTTCTCTCTGCAGCTGCTGGCCCCTTCCTCAATCCAACATCGGGCTGCAACAAAGAGCAGCAGCAAAGCTGAGCCACAAGCACTGGGGACTGTGAAGCTGCAGGGGACAGAGCTCCATAGTGCCAGGACACCAGGACTGGCAGCTGTGTCACACCCCAGCCYAACCCTGCATGGCTCTGAGCCCAGAGCTGCCTCTGTGCACCATCCAATCTCCCTGCTGGGGGTCCATATCTGCCCCCTCAGGCATGCGTCCATGGAAGGGGAGGTTTCACACAGGGCAAGGACAGGACCCATCTCCATGGTCGGGACCCCCTGTCCATGCCATCCTTGTGGTCTCACTCCGCTCTGTTCCCCTGGAGCGAGCGGACCTTGGGGCGCTGCTTTGGATGGTGTTTCAGTGCCTGTCCACCTGCTCTGGGCTCCAGCAGCTCTGCCAGCTGGTTTGGCAGCACCACTGCCCCAGTTTCACCATTTGGTTTCCCTGTGTTTTTCCCAGATCCAATGTTTTCCACCTAGAACAGATGAGCCTGACTGACAGGCTGAGGGCTGAACTTYTGGGATAGGCCCAGAGATCTCCAGCAAGTCCTGGCTCCCTGGAGGGAATGTGAGCATGAACCCAGACAGACGTGCCCACGTGTGTGGGAAACAGTDGGACCAGAGCCTCCCATCAGTTCCCAYGGGGTGGGACAGGGAARAAGCCACTTTGATCAGRGCCTCACAGAATCYCAGAATCATCAAGGCAGGAAGAGGCCTTCAAGATCATCAAGTCCAACTGTTACCCCAAGACCACCATAATCACRCCTAAACTATGTCCCCAAGTGCCACATTAAGACATCTCTTGAATGCTTCCAGGGATGGTGAYTCCRGTACCTCCYTGAKCAACTTATTCCATTGCCTGACCACTCTTTCAGTGAAAAAAACATCTAGTATCTAATCTGAACCTCCCCTGSTTCATTTCCTCTGGTTCTGTCACTTGAGACACGGCAGAAGAGGCTGATCCTGACCTCACTACAATCTCCTTTCGGAAGCTGCAGARAGCAATGAGGTCCCCRAGCATCCTCTTCTYCAAACTGAAGACYCCCAGTTCCTGTGGTGCCCAAGGGCTCTGGAGTGCCTGTGCTCATTCATGACAGCCCCACAAGGCAGCACAGCCACCCTCAAGCCCAGACAGGGATCCCCACACTGGTGCCACAGGGAGCTCTAAACCGCAAAAACCCCTTCAGGAATTAGCCATGGGGCAGCTTTGGTGGTACTGGGAGGCCCCATGGCCAATGTCAGGGGGGATGCCACATCAGGAATCTGGCAGTGGGCAGCCAGCCTGGGCAAGTGCGGCAGCTCAGCCCCAGCACAAGGAGCAGTGCTGCACAGCCAACTCAGACCCTGAAACGAGAGCTGGTAGAGCCCCCGAAACGAGACACAGCTCACTGCAGCCCCGGGAGGGCTGGGGGAGGCCCAGGGTAATCATTCACCCATTGGGCGGGCTGCAGCCACAGGCGTGGAGGGCAGAGTCCTCTCTGCGTCACCTGAAACCAAGCCAAGTGCTTCCCTGCCACCCAGGGACACGCAGGACCAGGGGGTAACTGGGGATGGGCAGCACCCACTGTCCTGTACTGGCACTGGGAAAGCTGGTAATTAGACAGGAACTCCCAGTGTGGCACTGGGGTTGTTTCAGCTGTGTCGCCAGTGTCATTCATGCTACTGAACACCTGTAGGTGATGTCCTGAGCCAAGCAACACCAACCTGGGGCAGCCARGATCATCCCTCTCCCTAGGGTGGTGACAGCAGCTCAGTGCCTCTCACTATYCCCATCTGGCTCCCACTACAGTCCCATCACTGGGGGGGCCACAAACTGGCCACAAACCTGCATCCTACTGCCACCCGTTGCTCTCTCTGGGCACTGGCAGGAGCAGCATGGGGCTAGCAGCAACTCCCATATCGTCAGCAGCACCCTCAGTGCCCACGGTGCCACCAACACCTGTCCCTGTCCCCAATCTCCCCCCAAGACCTGGCGCRGGGCCTGCCCCAGTCAAAGGCCGGAGGCTGGCAGCAGGAGGAGCCGGCTCAGCCGGTTTCCGACAGAAACCAGCCCGCACCTGGAATGGCCCCGCAGGGAGAGGCAGTATCTGGGCAGAGCTGACCAGGGCCCAGCTCGACACACCCATCACCGGGCACCGGCAGCACTGGGAGCCCCACACTGCCCCACACATGGACCATGGCAGCATCTCCTAAGGGTTCTAAAACCAAACAAAGCTGGGCTGTGCTGGGGCTGCTCATCTGACTGCCAGGTCTCCAGTTCAGGGGCTGTGCCTGGCTCAGGTGATACCACCAGCAATGCCCGCCATGGGGACACTAACGAGTTGGGGGATCATTTATCCCTGTCCACCCCAGCTGTGCTCCACAGCCAACTGCACCATGTTTCCCAACCTGCCTTCACTGACAGGCATCCACATCCTGAGACCTCAAAAGTCTTCCTGGAATCAGCGAGCGAGGTCCCTGCTTTCAGCCAGTGCTGCAAAACCACTCGTCCCTTGTCTAGTTCTGGCCATGCAGCACTGGAGTCCCGGATCCCTCCAGTAGCTGCTCTATCCCACTCCCATCCACGGAGCCCTATCCTGCCCTGGGAATCAGCCTCTGGAAGAGCTGTTCCGGAYCGTGTGTAAATCAGCAGGATAGAGGCACGTCCTCCAGCCCCGGGGCATGGAGTTGCGATCCTCCGGGATATCTCCCTGCCATGGGGCAGAGCTCCAGGAGGATCACCGGGTACTAGAGCCACCCAGAGAGRGACAAAGCATGGACAGTTGCCCGGTGAAAGAAGGGCTGAAAGCCAGAAAGCACGGCCGACAGATCCCGGAGGACAGAGTTGGGCACTCACCGAGCCTCGGATCCGACCAGGAAGGAGCTGAGCTTCGGGGCTGGTGGCAGTTGTGTCACTCCAGGGTGCCTTGCGTAACCCTTTGTGGCCCAGACTCTGCCTGCAGCAGGGAAGGAGCAGGAAGGGGGTCCCGTAGCAGCTTCACRGGCACAGCAGGTCTCCCGGAGGGCWGTCCCTGGTGTCCTCCACCGTGATGGTGGTTCAGCCACCTACATTCACCACCCTCCCAGCGCTGCACCGGGACAGGTGCACAGGATGCTGGTGGTAGCAGTGCCTTGGAGATAGGGGTCGTCCCCCATCATTGCCCCGTCCAGGGAAGTGGTGGGGCTCTGCCCCGGACTCCCAAACCCTCCCAGAGTCACCTACTGCCCCAAGAGAGGAGAGACACGGGGGCCAGCCAGGGGATCCCTGTGCTGTAGGTGTGAGAGAAGCTGGTGATGGCTGCTGCCCCCTCCTCCCCTTCCCTTGCCCCTGTCCGCACCTGGGGATGAGCCCCCCGTCATCCCTTGTCCCGCGGGGCCGCTTTCCTGCGGTGACAGCGATCAGGTCCACGCCGCGCCTCTCCGCCTCCCGCCGGGGCCGGTACCGCTCCCAGCCCAGCGCTGSGGCGGCGTGGGGGGACCAGTTCCTGCGGAAGCCCCCGGCCCGCAGCCGCCACCCCGGAGCCGGGGCCATGCCGCCGCCTGCCCCTCCGCTCGCTCCTCGGCACCGGCTGCTCCCGGCCAAGCCCCGCCGGCCCCACGGGGAGCCTGGAGCAGCTCCCGGCGCTCCCCAGAACCAGCCGCGGCAGGGAGTCCCTGTGGCGGGAGCCGGCGCCGCCGAGCAGCCTCATTAGTGTCGGTGATTCCAATGCAGCCTCCCAGCCGGGGCTACCCATCGGGGACACGCGTGGCCCCGGGGCCCGAAAAACCGGCGGGGCCGGCCCGGGCTGACCCGCGCGCCTGGAGCTGACCCGGGCCCGGGCCGGGCGGCGCCACTAGATGGTGCCTCAGGGCCGGGAGGAGCCGGGCCGCGGTTCGGGCTGGGAACCAGCGGCGCTGAGAGGCCCCAGGACCGCGCAGAAGGGAGAGACCGTATCCAGGTCCCGGTGCACGGCGGGCACAGCCTAGCCCGGCGGATTGTGCGGCTGCCGGCAGCCCCGGAGAAAGGGAGAGMGGGTAGSCGGCGCCCRGCACCGGGAAGGCACCGGGAAGGTCCCGGTCCGACGGGGGCACCGCGGTGGGAACCGGAGCCACGGAGGGACCAGCGGCGTGGGGTCGGCGGGCACTACTGGCCACGCCCCCGTCGGAGCCCCGCCCCACATAAACCACGCCCCTGCTGCCAGGTGTATCGGCAGGCCCCGCCCCTGCTGCCATGGCGACGGACAGGCTCCCGCCCTCCTGGTGCCCCGCCTCTACCGTCATAGCAACCGGCAGGCCCGCCCCCGCTGAGCCCCGCCCCCGCTGCCATGGTGACCGCAGGCCCCGCCCCCGCTGCCATGGTGACCGCAGGCCCCGCCCCCGGCCCTGTGGTGTTTCCCCCCTGCTGTAGGGAGCGCGGCTGCTGCACCGTGAGGGAGAGGCGGGAGTTGCTGCGGCCTCCCTATCACCCCCCATCGAATTCCACAGTCCGCCGGTTATCGCGACAGCCCGCCACCGCATCGCGATYAACCCCGGCGGAAGAGCCCCGCTGTGCTTCCGGCACTGGTCGGGGCGTGTCTGGCCGCGGCACCACCCGCGCTCTATGGTCCGCGGTGCTCCCAGGGTCCCCCGCGCCGCGGCCGGTACTCCAGAGGAGCGCGGCGGCGGGCGCTGGCCTGTCCGGGGCCTGTCTTGCCCCGGGGCTGCGCCTGCCCGCGGCCGCCATGGAGCTGGAGGTGCCTGAGGAGGCGGAGGGCTCGGCCGCGGCGGGTGCCGGTGCCATCAGTCCGGAGGCCGGCGTGGGGGGACCGGACGAGTCAGGAGGTAACGCGCCGCGAGCACCGGGGACTGTCCCTGCCTGTCCCCCACCCCGCCGGACCCCGGCGTGTCCCCGTGTCCCGCTGGCTCTCAGTGGTTCAGCCCAGTCGTCCCTCTGGCCGGGCCCCCCCGCGGGGCGCTCGGAGTGGTTTGGCCCAGCCCCCCCCCCGCCGGAGTGCGCCCCCCCAGACACCGCGTGGTCCCGTCCAACTGCTGCTTCTCTTCTCTTCTCCCCTGGACCCGGCATGGTTCGGCCCCGGCCCGCGGCTCCTGCACACCGAGGGACACTGCGATGGGGCTCCCTTGTCTCTGCCCTCGGGAGTCTCGGAGCGGCGAGGGCAGCGGCGACCCCTGGACCACCGAGCGGGAYACAGGCCGCCTGCCTCCGGAACTGCTCCCAGTCCCGGCACCGGCCCTGGGTGGACCAGTCCCGGTCCTGCCCTGGCCCTTCTCGAGGGTCCCTCCCCGGAGATTACAGGGGCTGAGTGGTGGGGTTACTAGTGGAGCCGGACAGACCCTGTCAGCGGGGTGGGGTACTTTGTCGTGGGCCGGGGTCCCTCCCACCGCAGGGGGCCCGTTTGTCAGGGCCCAGAGCGAGTCCGAGCCTGATAGCGGCATTAGGAGAAGGTTTGGGCTTCCTTAGTGGCAGGGTTCCTTAGTTCCTCGCATCCATGAGGCTGTGCCTGTTCTCCTGCCYCCGCCTCCGCTGCTGCCTAATTATTTCTAGTTCATTGACAGCCTCAGGATTGCTGGCTGAGCCGTGCTCGTGGTGTTCAGCCCCACTGCTGCTGGGCTGACAGGTTCCGCTGCGGTGCTCCAGGCACCTGCTAGAGTCCGAGATGCTCAGAGGGTTTGGCAGTGAGCTGACAGCAATCTTCGTGTCGTCAGGCCTTTAAATGAGCATCATTTTTGAGGACCAGCTAATTACAGTGGAAGTCGAGCTGGTTTTGCAGATGTCGTCTGCTGTGCCGGCAGGATGGGTGTAATGTGTAACTTTGGATAAGGTGCCTAGGTTTAGGCTCAGAGAAGCTGTCCCTAGCCGTCCTGCTGCTGTTCATCAGTGCTGCAAGGAAGTGCAGGGGCTGGCAGCCTGCAGCCTGCCTCCCCAAGGCTGTTTGCCATGTTCCCACACACCCTTGCACCTCTTTTTGGGAGCGTTCTCCCACCATGGAGAGGGGTGGCTGGTGATGCCAAGGGAGTGAGAACCTCTTGCTGATCAGAGTCACAGAACCGTTTGGGCTGGAAGGGACCATAAAGCCCATCTTGTTCCTCCCTTCTGCCATGGGCAGGGACACCAATGAACAGTTAAAATATCATTTGTTCTTCTGCTTTCCTGCTCTCYKTTTTGGTTTTTGAGGAGGGTAGAGGGTTGTTGCTCAGGATTAGGCAAAATGTTTATGGAGACTGTTGTTCTTCTTCCATAAGCAAGTAAACCTGAATTTATGAACCTGTAGGCTGTCTTATCTTACGCTGATAGTAAAAAAGATGAAACAGAGCCAGTAATCTCACCGATGCTTTGATTTCTCAAGTCAAGTTGCTTACTCCTCTCTTGGGTAGCGTCCAAGTTGTGTCACTTGGCCTCAGCCGCACTTGCAGCTGGAGCTCCCAGGGGGCTGGAAACAGCATGCACAACAGCAAAGAAGTGTTTGCTGGAGAAGAGCAAACCCCGAGGGATGGAGGTGGCCTTTGGGGGGCTGTGGGAAAGCACARCTGCACCCGCTCAGTGGGGACTGTGCTGCAGGTCTGGGATTGTCACTGTGCTCCATGGTCTGAACTGGGACACAAATCCCCGTAACTCTGGTGCCTTTGCTGCTGTGTGGAGGTGTTGAAGTGCCCATGACCCACATGGGTGCTTTGTGAAGCTCCCCTTGTGCTCATTGCTCTGCCTGTGCCTCTGATGGAGGATCAGCACTGTAGTTGAAACCAGCTCCCTGRCTCCTGGCTGGAGAAGAGGCATTAGGGTGCTGTGTTCTGCCTGAACAACATGGCAGGGCTAATCCAGACTGTGGGTTAGGCCAGCAAAGACCYTCCCCAAGCCCTCAGTAATTATAGAGGAGAGCCTGTTAGTCTGGGACAGGAGTAAGACTGCATGGAGAAGGGCTGGAAGCTGGGGAGGCCTTGGCAGTAGGTTGACTTAAGGTACAGAGAGTGTTCTGAAGGGAGCTTTTGGAAATCTTATACTTTGAGGGAGAAAACCTCATTGCCAGCAGCAGGGCTCATTCAGCAGCACATAAGCCCARTTCGTGCCTTCCTGAGACCTTGGTTTCAAAGTTCTAAGAAGTTTTTGTGACAAGTTGAAGAGGGAGTTTCAAAATCTAATGGGTGCAAATGCTTGCTGTATGTTCTTCCTGAATCTGTACCCTCATGCCCTGGGGAGGAATGGCAGGGAGTGTAAGAGGTTGCTTCATGGTTCTGGCAAGCTGTGGGCAGGACAGAGGTGGTGTGGGTGGTACAGTGCTGTGGGGTGGCAGATGAGCACTGGGCTTGCTCGGGCTGGGGTGCCCTGATCCCAGGGGTGGTTAGGAAAGCAAATGGAACATTGCCATTCCTCTAGACAGGTGCAGTCTGGAGACAGCATGTTCTGGAAACCCTTTTTCCAGGGGTGGTCAAGTAATGGGAGGGCTGTTGATACAAAAGAACTAGCACTGTCCAGCTGTTGGCAGCAGGTCTTGCCTCCAACATCTCCTTTCTAAAGTGGGAATTCTCAGTCTGATGGCAAAGTAAAGTTGACATCGGATTAATTTCCTTTGTTCAGATCTCTGGTTGCGTGGGTTGCAGTCTGCCCATCATTTACGGCCCAGAGTGGGAGCAGAAGCCTCCAATTATTCTTCAGGGTTGGATTCTTCTGCTTTGGGGAGCTAAAATGATTTAACAAGGATCTATACTCTTGGACAGTTGTCTCACTGTAGCTCAAGCTAGAGGAGCAAGGTGAAGATCCCACCCCCATCCAGGTGTGCTGGGTGCTGGTGGCACGTGTGTGGCTGGGAAAGCACTGGGAGAGCATTGATTGCGACATCCCAGCTCCAGTATTGCAGCTCTTCCCTCTTAGCAGTGATAACTTTGAAGTGACTTTTGAAGGGTTGCTGGAAGCATTTTTTTTCAGTGAGCAGATTAGAGATAAGAGAAGAATTCCACCCTGTGGGGCATAAGCAGTTCCCCAACTCGATGAAGAGGGGAAATTGGAGAGAGCTTATCAGCTTGAGGAAAAATCAAATGTAAACATCATCCCCAGCATGATTATGGTTCACAGCTTAGTTAGATGTCACATGCCTCTGTGCTGTGAAATGGTGCTGGCGAGGATGATTACAGAGGGAGTCAGCCAGGCAGGAACAGGCAGAAAAACACCCTGCGCCTTGAACTCTTAAAGACCCTGCAGTTACTTCACAGTCAATAAGTCACAGCTCAGCTGCAGGGAAGGAGGAAGGCAATGAAAATAGAATTCAGGCTGCTCTGGCAAATTAATTGTTCTTTAAGATATGAATCGACTGGAAGCACACAGGGAAGCTGGAATGATGAGGCCTGGGAGCTGGAAAGGGCAGTGGGGAGGTGTGTACAAGCAGGGAGGTGTGGGCCCTGCCCAAAGGATGCCGAGCCTGCCTGTATTGGTGTCAGGGCAGGCTGGAGAACACACAGGGCAGGGAATGATTAATCTCATTTTCATTAACCAGCATTTGGCATTGGCCTGTATGTACCAGCCCATTCCACTGCAGCTGGGACCAAGCCTGGCAGAGTTGYCACTGCCACATCCCACTTGGGAGGTGCATGGGCCTCTCTGGAAGAGTTCCTCAKGGAATGACCTGAGTGGATTCAGTATGAGCAGTGCATCATTTTGGGAACTATTATTGAAGTGATTCGCTGCCATGACCATTATGGGCTCTTGCCAGATGCACAATCTTAATAAATATGGTTTTCCCTTATAAGGTGGTTATAGGCTGAAAAGCAGCAGCAGGAATTCAAGCACTCTCTTCCTTCATGGATACATCTTTCARTCGGCACCAGTTGTCTCCAGAAATAGTTCTGCCATGGCTGTGTGATACCCTGACAAAGACTCAAGARCCCTTCTCATCACTTGCTGCTTCAGCTTTGCCAATGTTTGATTTTTCCCACCCATCCTTTTTAGGCTGCCAAGTGTATTCCCATGTTCCATGATAAATYTCTAGAGGCCTGGCAGGTGTCTCACTCCTGACATGGATGTGGTACCATGGGCTTGCTGGGACCTAGTGGTATGAGATTAGTGCATAAGAGAATTGTAGGTGTTACATGGGGGGGTCATTAACTTGTGACTCAAAAAGCAGAAACCACTGCACTTTTTGCACTTACACTGGGAAGTGTCAGAAGTGAAGTAGGAGGGAACGTTTGCTAATCCCAGTGCAAAGATTTGTTGTTGGCTTTGTTTRGGTGGAAGTGAACATTCAATGCTCCCATCCACATGCTCCCTCTCAGCATGGTGAAAGAGCTGCTGGCCAGGTTGCTAGCAGGAGATGCTCCTTCTATCATCCTGGCTGCAGGAAAGTGGGAGTCAAAGCAGGTTCTGCCTTGCCCAGAAGGTGTGATCCCATGGGTGCACCCTCAAGGATCTCCTCAGGCTCCCAGGGAAGCTGGCAGGGGCAGTGGTTATTGGAGCAGGCTGCCAGTTTTGGGACATGCTCTCTGGTTTAACACAGGGGCCTTGGCACCTCCTTACATGCTTACATTGGGAGAGAAGTGACTCAAAATGTTTGAATCAAAGAATTCGATTCAATTCACAGAATCGAAGAATGGTTTGGGTGGGAAGGAATCGTCTCATTCCAACCCCCTACTACGGGCAGGGATGCCTTCCACTAGACTAGGGTGCTCCAAGGCCCATCCAGATTGGCCTTGAAACTCATGAATAACAGCAGAACAGCAGGAGATGGCCGAGGTGGGGTGTTTTCTTCCCATTAAGTCTTTCCAAGTCTCTAACCAAGATCTTTGATAGTCCCCTTTGATTTGTTTAATAACCCAGTGACAGTGTTGCAGTTCTTCAC